CCCTCCTTGAAAATAAATACAGGGTGCAACAGTCTGGCTGGAAATGAATAAGTAACGATCCAAGATAAATCTAGCCTTTTGGATCTAGAAATCGGAGGCCAGAAGAAAAGCCGTGCCGGGATTATCGTCATTATGTATTTCAACTCGAGAAAAAGTCAGAAACCGCATTATGCACAATAATAGCGGAATGCATTAGAACGGCGCCTCTCTGAAGCTCGGTTAGATGCTAGTCTCGGTTCTCTCATATAAGAAGTGGCTTCTTATGATTTTAGCAGGGGTGTCCATGTGGACGCTATATTAAAAAAGGGCCACTCTATCTGTTAAAAGGTTCGTCAATGGGATTGGCAACATTAATAAGAAATGGTTTCGTACCAAACCACCACCAATATCATACGAGAACGGCTTATTAGTACCTTTCAGTTCCAGTATGGGATTATGTCTTGGGTTTGAGATAACTTTAGACTTTTTACAAAAGAAAATTGTTAATGGAGCTTTGCCAAGTGGATATGTTAAAATGGTCTATAACAAATACAAAAAAGTGCCTTCGATCTCACACGAGGGTTTTAATAATTTTTTTCTCCGAAACTAAATAGTTCACTTACGTTGCATATTTGTTGATAGATGTATGAACAATTTGGTATCAAACTAGGTACGTAAAACCAGTTTATTTTCAAATTAATTTTAATGTGGACAATTTTCACAATATTTATAAAATGGAATAATAGTATATTAAGATACAAGTGTATAATCAAGTCTTTAAAGCACGCGCAACGAGTTTAAGGGCTCGACGCGAAGCGGAGTGCCTTTAACGTTGCAAGTGCTTTAAAGGCCAATTATGCACGTGTATCTTATAGTACCTATTTTTTATTATACCTGCAGTATAATTTAAAAATAGGAAATACAATGAAATCATATTGACGTTATACTCGAATACATGTCCAATTAAGTGGGCTGGTTGTTCGTAATTGCACGATTGCCATGGAAATATCACTTCACGTTTGCTTGACGTGTGTTTTAAAGTCCTTCTTTTGCACACATTTGAGTGTTTAAAACGGAGATTGTGATACAGGTATAATAAAAAAGAATAACATCACTCACTCATTTGGAGAAATGAATCTTCATAATTCTCAAATTGTTCCTGTTTTTCAAGCTCCTCTTCGTCGACACTGAATTCCTCAGATAGTTGATGTTCAGCATCCAAAGAAGGACCAGGTTACTCCATTTTACAAGAAGTGTCTTCAGATTAATTTTTCGAAGGACATACCTGCAGAATTTTAAATTTCCCACTACTAATAGTTTCACATAAATTGAGAGATGGCGCTGAAAAGCTTCCTAAACTTTGCATTGGTAATTTAACCAATGGTTTCTAACGATCTCAAACTCTGGGAAGGGGAAGGGGGTCTAAACAGAATTATGCGGGTCACTCTGTAATTGGGCGCAAGCCTGTTGAGGGCGCATAACAAGAGAGGGATAATAAATAAATAAATAAATTCTAGTGTAAACATAACGGTCATTCCGCTGACAAAAATTCCCTTATAGTATATTTCAGCCTTGGATGAAAAAATAACTGGATTGCTAGCAAAGTCAAATTTATGAAGCCAACATCTACAGCGCCATCACAGGGCAGGTGTGCGTTTTGTGAATCGAAATTTGACACACGTCAATGTTACGAGACTTAATTTGGGTGTTTTATAGTGATTTTATGTAATTTTGTGTTAGTTAGTTGTGTTACTTTTATGTAATTAATTAAAAATGAGACGCTGAAGTTTTGTAAAAAAATGTGATGAATGTGATGCAGTTTATAACGTTAAAAACAAGGACATTAAAACAGAAACGTTTTTCGCGTAAGTAAAAGACTAATTCTGTTCCTTCAATTTTCCCAAATACATCAAATGAAAATGTCGACAGTTTCTCAGACCAAGAACAAGTTGAAGAAATGACAGTAGGTGAAAATGTAAACACTTTCCCTGATCATCAAAATATGGGTCTTAATCGTTGTGTAACACCCTTGCCGTCATGTACTACACGTTATCCTGAAGATTGGTTAGATGCTGCAATAAACATGTCCATTTGTTAAATAAAAGCTTATTCCACGATCTATGGGTATCTTTATCCAAAAATTATATCTACTTCAAATTTATTTATTATATAAATTAATTCGTCAGGTATAAAGTGAAACAGTTATCGTATAAATATTTTGTGTGGATATACTTGTCCTTGCAAATTTCATATTTAGCGCCTCAGATTTAGTTCTCATTTTAGTCATACCCAGTGATGGCGCTGCAGATGTTGGCTTCAAGTTTTATATTAAATATTATACGACGCTAGCAGTCCAGGTTTATATGGTCGAAGATTTCAGCACACAAAATTATTTCATTTGAATGTTTCTAATAATACTTTCAAGGAACAAAGTCTCTGTTCAAACAATGAAATGTAGATTCTTTTGTATCTTTTCCCGTAGATTTGAATGCTGACAACAGTTTTTGACAAATTTCCAAAATTTAAACAACTTATTTTACTTTAAAATTTAATGTTACTGAAGTCGTTTTTGGAGTTTTTTCGTTTGTTGAGCTTCTTCTTCAATAAGGACTACACATTTTTTTATTTTATAAAAAAGAGATAAAAACTACGATACATCTCTGAAGACAATTTTCATTTGGAAAAAAGTTTCTTGTAAAAAAAACGAATATTTTGAAAACCTCTTACTTTTTTATATTGCGAAAATTTGAATCATAAAAAGTATAATTCAACCAAGTCTCATAAAAAGAAATTAATTTTTGCGGAAATGAACAATAAAAAACAGAAAATACGGTTATCCGCGATTTTTTCGGTTGGTTTGAGGTTATGTGAGAAACTGACTGGAAAGAAAGTTGTAGAGGTTTTCACGATCTACAACTTTTCTATTGAACACTTTTGTTTCTGATCTCAAGTTCTGCCGGAAATTGCCGTCATACGATTTTCGCCCCTTTTTTACCCTCCCCAAAAACTTAGTTCCACTCCCCTGCTAACGTATTTATTTTTTTTTGTATTTGTTTTAGACCATTTTAACATATCCACTTGGCTCCATTAAAAATTTTCTTTTTTTGCCTAAAAAATGGTTAATTCGCCTGGACTTAAATGGACTATTTTTATGGTCTTTATATACTGTTTGTCCCGTTGGTTGGGCTAAATGATATGTTCTTTTATATTCTGTTTCCCCCTTTGGCCTATATGTATATAAATATATTTTATAGGTTTGTTAAACTATTATTAACAACAGGCAGTAGACCTTTCATCCCCTTTTCTCTTTTCACAGTTCGCTATCGGGCCGGCCGATTACAAACACCACTCCGACAGGTCAGGCCTTCAGCGAGACCTGAGATACTCGTTTTCCTCCCTTTGGAGTAGAAAACCTATAGGATAACCTATATTGACAAGGAAGTGAATTTATTTGGGAAGTTATTTTCCTCTTCATTTGATAAAGCGCGTTCTTGTTAAGGTCATTTGACATAATAGCACAGATTTAAATCTGTGATAATAGTAAACAGGTATTTGTAATAGTGAAAATGAAAAGTATGTTGAATGTTTATTTCATTACCAGATTAGTTAGATTTGGAAAGGCTCGATTGAGTCACTCTTAAGGAAAAAATTTATAAAGGAATGGAACTGGATTGAGTTTGATTTTAAGAAAATATATTTTCGTAAATGGCACGTTGGAATTGTTATTATTCCAGGAAATTGCACTCAAACTAGAATCACAAATTCAAGAAGAAAGGGAAAGGAAAGTAATTGATTTAATTTAATTTCGGGTTTTTAGTTCTGTAGTGTATCGAAAAGAAGATGGATACGCAAAGTATCACAAAAGACTGCACTTGAAAATGCGTTTTATTTCTTTGAGTAAGACGGGATTACTCCAAGGATCAGCAATTAAAAAAAAGAAAAGTATTTATTGTGCCACAGAAAGTGATCCCTAACATTTCGCGATTTTTATGCAAAGGCAGCTACGCATAGGTATTTGCAATTTTTAGTAGGGTGAGGTCGCTAGTGGAGCATTGAGGATAGAAAATGCAGAAAGGGAAAATATTTAGGACACTACAGAAATTAACCAGAACGAATTCGTGATTGTGACCCAAATGCGGTTTATGTAGTTTGAAAACAACGGGGAATTTATATTTTATTTGTCTCGGTAGCAGTAATACAGTACCTTCGTGTGACTTTTTTTACTTATTTCAATTTCGATTTTTAAAAACATATAAAAAAAACTAAAGAATGTATAGATGGCAGGTGGAAAAATGAATTGTTCTGAATCTGTAGTTTTCCTGATGGCTATAGTAAAAAACGCTTTTTTCTATTTCGGTGCCACAATGATGATTTTGTACAACTGTTTTCGGCCGAAAACAGTTGTACAAAGACAGTGATTATAGTCGTTTTTTTTTGGTAACTCATCTCTTAAGTTGGCAGTTACTAGTTAGTACAAGTAGGTACTTCGTTGGGTACTTCCATGTTTGAACTTCAAAATGTCAGTCTTACTACGCTGCCAACCTAAAACTTAACGGCATAAAAAGTGTTCCCAACATAAAACATGTTAGTTCTAATGTTCCCTATAGTTTCTGATAATGATTTTTTTAATTAAATTAAAGCACCGAAATAGAAAAAATAGTATGAAAAACGCGTGTTACAATGCTTTATTGTAATACTCCTATCTTGCGGACACTCGTGGCTACGCTTCGCGTCGCCACTCGTGCCACAAGATGGTCGTATTACAATAGGTCGCATTGTAACACTTGTCTTTCAATATAATATTGTACTACGGTTTTGTGGAAAACTTGCACGATTTCGAGATCAAGATTTAAGGGATGCTCAACGAAAATTTGTTTTTATCGCATGCGCGCGTGACTTCTCATTAGACGCGGTTAACAATCGGCGGCGAGCGTCTCGGCGTTCATCTGCTAACCGCCTGTCCTAGATACAGTACCCTCAATATTTGAATGCGCGCTTTTCGAAAGTAAGTGTGCGATATTTTCGCGGTTGTTTTTTGTGAAATGAGAGAAGGAAGTGTTTTAGTGCATTCTCATGTAATCCTCGCATAAGCATACTCAAAATGAATCTTTCGACATCAGAAAGTCTCGCTTTCAACCGCTCTGTTGCATCGAGCGTCGAAGTATCCTACTGTGATTTGCAAACCTTTTCCGTTTGGTATAGAAGCGTTCATGGTTACTTGAGCATACTTGTATGCGTTTTCGGCTCTATCGCGAATATTTTGAATATATGCGTCTTGAGCAGACGCGAAATGCGATCGCCTACAAACGCAATCCTGACAGGACTAGCATTTGCAGATCTACTAGTGATGATCGAGTATATACCGTTCTCGTGCCACGTATATTTCGATCCTGACGCTCGTTTTACTGCCACCTATTTTAGATACGGTTGGGCGGTTTATATAGCCTTTCACGCTGTATTTACTCAAGTATGCCATTTTATTTCCATATGCTTAACGGTGATTCTAGCCGTTTGGCGATACATCATTATAACACAACCAAAACAGAACAGCGAATGGTGCAACGATCGAAGGACAAAATTGATCATTGTGCTGACTTATTTATCATGCCCACTAGTTTGTCTACCCCTCTTTGTTTCGCTAAAAATAACCGAACAGGTGAAATACGTCAACGAAGAGGGAAGAATTATCCCACAAATCGAATTGGAAAACTACTCAGAAGATAAAACCGAGGTTACGCTCTACGTGTTAGATTACGGTAATTTCAAAGACATCTCCTTTTGGGTCTACGGGGTTGTCATCAAGCTAGTCCCCTGCATCCTGTTAACGATACTATCGCAGCGAATCATCTCAACTTTATTAGAAACGAAAAGGAGAAGGCGAAACCTTTTAGGGACTAACAAAATAAATATGAAAACAGCCGGATCGGATAACATCGTTAAAGTATCAAGGCAAAGTAAAGAGCAGCCGGCTGATAGGACCACGAGGATGCTACTCGCTGTGCTACTTCTATTTCTAATTACCGAATTTCCGCAAGCCATCCTCGGCCTGCTCAGCGTATCTATCGGGACCCAATTCGAAAACCAGTGCTATCGTCCTTTAGGTAAGGAAACTTTTTATTTTATGCACGTTAAAAACCGCAGCGGATTGAAAAACCCAACAAAAGAAACCGATTTTTGTTTATTGGCTTCGTAATTGGACCGACTGGTCTTCTTCCATGTACCCATATAAAAGCTTCATTCCATTTTCTTTTATTTCTCTTGCGCACAATACTGTTGTTTAAAATCCATATCTCACTACATAAGTGAACGAACAAAAACCGGGTGTGGGTAAAACTCGGACCCGGACCCGGACCCGGACTTGGTGGGTAAAACTCGGACCCGGACCCGGACCCGGACTTGGTAGGTAAAACCCGGACCCGGACCCGGACTCGGACTTAGTGGATTCTTTCTTTTATATTTTCGTGCATCGTAACATTAAATCCGTTATAAGGGGCTTGGTAGGGTTCCAAGCATTACCTTTTTCGGTTGGATTGAACCCTTTCTGTGCGTCAAATGCGTTTGGCTCATATTTTCGAAATGCACAAAGAAAGTAGAAATTTGTTTCTTTTGTCAATATTCCTTGTTGTAGTCGCTGTATTAAGTTTTATTTTAGGCGAACGTTAAAGCGGAAGCGGAGCTTATTTTCGCTCGTTCTTACACGATGTTTGTACGCGCTTTAACTTTAGAAGGAATTATTACAGTACGAGGTTGAAATCGTCATAGTATGTTCCAGATCATAAAATAACATCCATATCCCTCCAAAAATACAAGAAATATGAACAAAATTGCGCCAGGCATGCGGGTTGGCACATCTTGGTAGCCGTGTGACATAGTAAACATTTAAATAGGGGAATTTGTACCAAGATTACGGCGCAACAATAATCTTCTATTAAAGAGTTTGTTTTGGAAACCTTCTAGCTTTCCGGAAAACTATAAAAAATAAAAAATAAAGGAAACGGTCAAAAAATGCATGCACATACCCAACTTCCTTTAAACTATTAAAGCGATTTTTCTAAAAATTTTAATGTGGATCCTTCAAATCTAATCTGCCCATGCGCACACCCAAATTTCTTATTTGTAAAGGAATTTCTCTGAAGCGGCAAATAAATAATTTTAATCACAGATGCTTCTAGCAAAGCAAGCATATCTCATATTGTAAAAATCAGATGTGCGCTTGCGCATGCTGCGCAATGTCAATTTCCTTATATGTAGCGACATTTTTTTGAATTTTTAACCAATGGTTCTTCTACTGCAGGGAACATATCGCATATTTTAAACATCAGGCGCGAGCTTGCGCACGCTGCGCAATGCTAAGTTTCTTATTTATAAGAAAACATATTTTCCTCTACCTACACATAAATAGTCCGTTATATGAATTTTCGGCAAGATCTGATCGTTCATGGAAAATGGACTCAAGTAACTCCCCTTAAGGCGAAAACCGCTTTTTCATTTTTGTTTTCGTTAAATTAGGCTTATCTTTTTCTCGTAGTAAAACACTACAAATCACCGACAGTTTTTTTGAACATTACAGACGTTCCCGTAAACCGAGTAGGTATTGGTTTATTGGACATGATACAGTCGATCTCAGTAACTTCCAATAAAATATCGAATTAATATACAGCGACATTCACGCAGCTTGTTGGTTAAAAGTTTTTAAACCTGCAATTGAATAGAAATTGAAATTTGATTTACATTTGACATTTGCCAAAACCTATGACAGATAGGTAGGTACTTAAATTTTAATTGCGTTGAATGCAGAATAAACTAACGCATAGGAAGAAAATAGAAAATGTTACGTTTCTATTAAAAAACACCAAGATGGCACTACTTGCGGGGTATTTATGGAAGGAGCACCATCTTGAAATTATTTTATATTTCAATTCGCAATGGTCGGTTATGGCTGTAAACCAAATTTCAAGTTTCTATTTCAACTACAAGTTTAAAAACTTCTAACGAACGGACTACGTGGATCACCTTGTATGAATAAAATGTAAAGCTACTATAAATTAATTAGATTAAATAGGGTTAGGTGCTCGGTACCTAGGAACTATGTATGAATAAAAATATATTTACTGCGGGGGAAATTTTTTGATCTTACTCGATAAATCGTCGTAAACCTTCCATGACATGTCACATTTTCGACTTATTGCAACAAAATGGTCAATACCACCAAGAACTGTCGGTGATTTTTTGTGTATTACTTATACGAGAAAAAGATAAGCCTAATTTAACGAAAACAAAAATGAAAAAGCGGTTTTCGCCTTAAGGGGAGTTACTTTAGTCCATTTTCCATAAACGATCAGAACTTGCCGAAAACGCCTGATGTTTAAAATGTGCGATATGTTCCCTGCAGTAGAAGAACCATTGGTTAAAAATTCAAAAAAATTTCTCTACATATTATAAGGAAATTGACATTGCGCAGCATGCGCATGCGCACATCTGATTATTTACAATATGAGATATGCTTGCTTTGCTAGAAGCATCTGTGATTAAAATTATTTATTTGCCGCTTCAGAGAAATTCCTTTACAAATAAGAAAGTTGGGTGTGCGCATGGGCAGATTAGATTTGAAGGATCCACATTACAATTTTTAGAAAAATCGCTTTAATAGTTTAAAGGAAGTTGGGTATGTGCATGCATTTTTTGACCGTTTCCTTTATTTTTTATTTTTTATAGTTTTCCGGAAAGCTAGAAGGTTTCCAAAACAAACTCTTTAATTGAAGATTATTGTTGCGCCGTAATCTAGGTACAAATTCCCCTATTTAAATGTTTACTATGTCACACGGCTACCAAGATGTGCCAACCCGCATGCCTGGCGCAATTTTGTTCATATTTCTTGTATTTTTGGAGGGATATGGATGTTATTTTATGATCTGGAACATACTATGACGATTTCAACCTCGTACTGTAATAATTCCTTCTAAAGTTAAAGCGCGTACAAACATCGTGTAAGAACGAGCGAAAATAAGCTCCGCTTCCGCTTTAACGTTCGCCTAAAATAAAACTTAATACAGCGACTACAACAAGGAATATTGACAAAAGAAACAAATTTCTATTTTCTTTGTGCATTTTGAAAATATGAGCCAAACGCATTTGACGCACAGAAAGGGTTCAATCCAACCGAAAAAGGTAATGCTTGGAACCCTACCAAGCCCCTCATAACGGCTTTAATGTTACGATGCACGAAAATATAAAAGAAAGAATCCACTAAGTCCGAGTCCGGTTCCGGGTCCGGGTCCGGGTCCGGGTTTTACCCACCAAGTCCGGGTCCGGGTTTTACCCACACCCAACAAAAACCGACTTCAGAAGGGGGAAACTTTGGCGAATGTACCGCTGGCGGTGAGCCAAGAAAAGACTTTCACCTTCATTATTGCGGATTTATTTCTGCGTTCAAGTTACGAAACAGAAAAGCTGCTATTTCGTTGTTGCGTCAAAGAAAATTTTGCCGCGATAATAAGACGAATATGAACACATTTATAAAACGAAAATCCTGGTTGATTAGTCGCGAGGGTAAAAATTTCCCTGAAAATCGTATAGGAACTGATATACGGATGTTCCCGATGGGGTGGATTTGCTGATTAAAATTCATTCAGCTGACAGAATGAGTTATGAAAAAACTGCATTCCAAAAAGAAATTAAAGCTATGAGATAATAATAAATTCCTGTTATTGACATATGAAACTTCTTTTTATTCATGGATGAAATATAAAATTTTTACACGATTAAGAAGTGTTTTACTCCCCTGTTAACGACAAAAAAAACTTGACATTACTTTTGAGTTTTTGTCAATAGAAATAAATAATTTTCACATTTAAAATTTTGTCATAACTCTTAGAACAACAGAGAGTAACACTATTCAGAAATACCGTCCAGCGTTAGTCGCATACAGATAAAACTTATTTTTTACAATATATTATTTGTGTCCATTTTTACAATCTTCAGTACAAAACACTTATGACTCAAAAAATCGAACGGGTCCTGGCGGCCAAACTATTGTAATGGATTGCTGTAAATAAGTTCTGTAAAAACTTACATCATTTTAAAACGAAAAAGAACTGTATTTTCAGAGGAGAATTGGGGGGCTGCTTATAGTGCTTGTAAACATAGTCTATCAGAGATACAAAAATATTTGGTACCTATACCACAAAATTTGCAACCCCAAGACTGGTCCGCCAAAATATGTACACCTGCTTAGACTTAGATAAGTCTAGAGCGCCACCGGGAGTTGGTTCCTCGTCCCTGGTCAAGGCAAGCGGGTAATCAACGATATCTACTGGGAAACAAGGCAAAGGAAAGCAAATATCAACTTCTTTAATGAAATGGGAAACGACGTTCGTCAATAAATTGTGTCTGTAACCTCATGTCTGGTATTGGTTTCGAATTACACGCTAGAAATCGGTCGTATTAAGTTACTTATGCAACGTTGCAAATTAAGCACAACTAGGAAAAAACTGAGTTTGTAAAATTTCGAAGCTCAGTATAGCAGCCTTGAAAGTTTCTGAACCAATGAAAATTAAAAACATATCGCCGCCATTACTACCCCATCATTGAGTGGGGGTTAAAAATGACTTAGTTTTCAGATAGGGGATTATGTTGCACAAAATTAAGGCGTTCGAGTTCAAAGAGCCAAGGCGACCAAATTCTCGTTTTGGCAGTCGAGCTGAAACAAAATTCGAATAGCGCTAGTGAGCTGAAATAGCTTAGCATCTTGGCTTTGGGAACTGGTTTATCTACGTACGATTCTGTATCATTGTTATTTATTTCAAAACAGGAGATTAATCAAATAACCCTTGTAGTTCTCCGTTGCAAATGTAAACTAATGAACGCTTCTTTGTTTTTGAGATAAATACATTCTAAATAACACAATTTAGAAGATAATTGCACTAATAGGATATCATATTTTTGAAATTCTGATTTAATTTTGCAAATTCCAGGCGAAATTATATCTGCTAACAGTTTATTCATTAAGAGTCTTCTGTACCCACTGCACCCAATGTAAATTTCCATAAGAGCGCCCGCCATAAAAACTCTAGTTGTTTAAAAAAAAAAAATTTTTTTAAAGAACTATTTTATAAATTTAGACCTTTATCTACAAAATGTTCGGACTATTTTTTTTAAAAAGTGTATAGCAACTGAATATCAATTTTTTAAAGATTAGCTGTTTTGCACCGATTATTGCGCTAATCTGTTTCATTTTTTTACTCTCGATCAAGACGATTTTTGGAAAAAGTAAACCGACAGTTTTTTAGATAAGTTAATTAAACATGACCCCAAAAAATGAAATCATATTTTTTGTAAATAAAGTCTGTATCTTGGCGGGCGGTAAATCAACAATTTCAGTGTAACAAGTGGCGCCGCTGCTCAGTGTCGGCGGAAACTAACTAAGGACCAAGACAGGAGTTGACGAAGCAAAAATACCATCTTGTCTCTTGCAACTATAATCGTCTATATACTATAATGTAAAAAAGTTGCGCTTGGGTAAAGAAGACTCTTAAGCTGCGTCTGTACACTTTTTCCGCCTGCTTTGCTTAATTCGTCGTTACTTCAGGTATTTAATAAAATTACACAGGACGGCGTTTTTGGATATTTTGCGATAATGCATAATAGTCTAATAATATAAACGAGAAAGCTAAATTTTATGAAATAATAGTACATTATACATCAAGGGAGAGAAATGCATTATTTTTCCCGCGGTGCGATTTGTAGCCAGAGGGCGAAGCGAAGCGGAGCCCGAGGGCTACAAAGCACCAAGGGAAAATGGCATTTCGCTCCAGAGGTGTATATACTATTTTTTGCATTCGCGTCGACGTTTACCTATACTCTTTAAATGAATTGATGGTTCTTTGAAGATTATAACCACATATTAATCAGGTTAGTGGAGAATTAAGTATAACCGTGGCAACCAATAAATTAAAATTTAATCATGTTAGTCGAGAATTCAGATAAACCATGGCAACAGATAAACAAACAATGTTTGCTGTTGAAAAAGTGCGTGAATTAAAATGGAAGTTGCGGGTTGTTCTGAAGAACCTTATGAAATTACAAACGCCGCTAACGCCGCTGTCGTGAATTTACTACCTGATAAGTCGAAAAAGTTGTATGAAGCAGCATATAAAGGTTTTAAAGACTGGTGCATAGAAAAAGATGTCGCGACCGTCACCGACAATGTTATGTTGGTTTACTTTAGCGAAAAAGCCAAAAAGTACAAATGTTCAACGGTATGGGCACAATATTCCATGGTGAGGTCTTGTATGCTCATTTACGACAATGTTGACATCAACAAATTTCCAAAATTGATATCATTTTTAAAAAGGAATTCTGATGGATATTCTCCGAAAAAATCGAAAATATTTAATAGAGAAGAGGTGGAAAAATTCTTGCTTGAAGCTGACGATGATACCCATCTTATGCGAAAGGTAAAATTGCGTTTACTTAACGTATTAAACATTGCTAACCATTTCCTCTTTAGGTTGCGTTGATTTTTGGAATATCTGGCGCATGTCGCACTGACGAATTGGTCAATATGACACTGGATAACGTTGAAGATGTGGGGTCTTCTTTCATAATTACCCTGCCACATACAAAAAACAAAACATCCAGAACGTTCGTTATAGCGAGTAATGAAGGCGGTAAAGTGGATTTTCTTCAGATAATTCGCAAATACACGTCCCTTCGACCTGGAACTAACCATGGACGATTTTTTGTTTTCTACAAGAACGGAAAATGTACTCAGCCGGTTGGGAAAAACACGCTTGGCAAGGTGCCAAATATGATCGCCAATTACTTAAAATTACCAAACCCAGAACTCTATACGGGGCACTGCATGAGGCGTACCTCCACCACTCTATTGGCGGATGCTGGAGCTGACCTCACCACTATAAAACGGCATGGTGGGTGGAAGTCCACCACAGTCGCGGAAAGCTACATTGAGAACTCTGTGGCCAACAAAACGAAGATTGCAAATCAGATTATTCAAGGTAGCACTACCTCAAATGTCAATATAACATCGGGAGCCAGTTCTGATTCGAATCAATTGATTAATAAAATTCCAGCGGTAAATTTTACAAAATGTGAAAATATAACGTTTAATTTAAATATAAACAATGTACCTTTTTAAGTTTGAGTTAATATAACCTATATAAATATCAGGGAGTTTTCATTATCATTATTTCTCAAGGGACTGAAATGCAATTTCTGTCCCTGTTTTGTGATCATAGAAACGGATTTTTACCCTCGCGAGTGCAAAAAAAATATTTCAGTGTGCAACAACCAAATGCAATCGATTGTAACCAGCATTCTGGAATATTCCAGATCAATTCCAATGTTACATTCGACTTACGACCTTCAGTACCAAGTTTGCTGGCTACTAGTTCAAAAGTTACAGCCCTTTAAATTTTCTTTCGAAATTGGTTTCTAGTCTATAACTTTTGATTGAGAAGTCTAATCGAAAAAGTACGAATTGTTTTGGATTCTACGCACCAAAATTAATAAGAAAAAGTGTTGTCCCGAGAAATTTTGGTGAAGTCAATTTTTGGTAAAAAAGGAAGGTTATACACTGCCTTTTTTTGAGCCCCGAAAAAAAAATTGTCTCAGGTCGACCGGGAAAAAAGATTTTCTTATAGAATGTGGCCTGTAGAATCCATAATTTCAAACAGTTCCAGGATTGGGCTACTAGTTCAAAAGTTACAGCTGTATGAATTTTCTTTCGAAATTGGTTTCTAGTCTTTAACTTTTGATTGGGAAGTCTAATCGAAAAAGTACGAATTGTTTTGGATTAAAACATATCGCCGTCATTACTACCCCGCCATTGAGTGGGCGTTAAAAATGACTTAGTTGTCAGATGGGGGATTGTTTTGCACAAAATTAAAGCGTTCGAATTTAGAGAGCCAAGGCGAAGAGGAGTCGAGCAAAAAGTGTAAAAATTTGCCTTTGAATGTGTGTTATAATACAAAAGATCTCATTAATTAATAATTAATAATCATGTATTATATAATTTGTAACAATAAAATCAAAATTAAGGTCTTATTAAAGTGTAAAGTTACTGATGTAAATTAGACGCGAATCCAGTTCAAATTATTAAGTAATTTAGCAGTAAGAAATGAGATGGCCATTACAAAGTAAATGTTAGTAGATTTTTAGCCAACAAAATATTAATGTAAAAAGGGAGATGTATTCTTAAACAACCCGTTAACATTTTCTGATTTTTCGAAATACACAAAATTTGACATTTTGGTTTTATTGTTTTTGCTGGTCAGTAAAAAAACCAAAAACCCATTTGTAGCAATTTTCATAAAAGACTAGGAGATCTCCAACATAAGCAAGGGAAGTAAAGTTTATTGGAAAACCATAAGGGCTAATCGGCGATATTTAAGTAAATTTCCTGTAATGTAGTTTTCTCGTTGGAATTTCCACTTTTACCCAAACAAACGGAGTGTCCAAAAAATTATTTGCAACGAACGGTCTGTTGCAAATCGCATCCAATAGTAGGGCTTTAAAGTAGGGGCCGTGGCACAATTTCAATATTTTTAGTGGTAATAGTTTTAAGTAGTCCTGTATTTCGTAATTACAAAAATATAATATTGTCGTAAATTGAAGATATAACTTTTTCAGCCGCAGTATAACCTATTTTAATGTAGAAAATGACAGCTTATAATACGCTATTAAATTGTTAATTGTGAAAATTCTGTTGCATAGTCAATAACACTACTCACAACTATAAAAAGATACAGGGTGTCCCATTCAAGATATTGATATTGAATTTTATAAAAAAAAGATATATAGTTTCAGCATTAGCGAGGTGATTGTTGATCTTTCACACATAATCGATTAAAGAAACGAAAATATTAGGTGTACCACAAAATTACACTTGATTTACAATTGATCGATTAGCGAGCCAGACTGATTTGGTTCCGTCAGACTTCCACTAAACTGGTTTATCTACGTACGATTCTGTATCATTGTTATTTATTTCAAAACAGGAGATTAATCAAATAACCCTTGTAGTTCTCCGTTGCAAATGCAAACTAATGAACGCTTCTTTGTCTTTGAGATAAATACATTCTAAATAACATAATTTAGAAGATAATTGCACTAATAGGATATCAAATTTTTGAGATTCTGATTTAATTTTGCATGAAATAAAAAATTTTTCAGTGTGCAACAACCAAATGCAATCGATTGTAACCAGCATTCTGGAATATTCCAGATCAATTCCAATGTTACATTCGACTTACGACCTTAGTACCAAGTTTGCCGGGTTAGAAGTAAATTGTGAGCGAGGAAAATAAATAAAGTGACTAATGTGCCTGTAAAGTTTTCTTGTTAGTTCTATTTAAGAATTATTATTTGCCGAAGAATGTCTCGTTAACGGTCTGGACATATTTCTATAACAAGAATATCACTCTTAACTACATGACAATAATTAGAATCGTTATAGCTTCACAAAAAAAAATTAAGAAACTTTTAAAGGTAAAATGGCTGATACAAGTAACTTTTTAAATGCTCTTGTAATTGATTGCAAACACCTAGCAGTTACATTCTTTAATGAATTACATATAGGATACCGCGATGCTCCTGGAATAATATTGTAACGTAATTTCAATTACCTGATTTATTTAAAATTAACTATTAATGAATTTATAACATGTAATATTATCACATACGGACGCGAACTTCCCTAAGTCACCTAGGAATCGATGGTGGAACTACTCTTAAACAAGCTTCAATTTGCTTATGTAGCAAACCGAAGGTTTCTAGAGAAATCACGGAACATTCTCAAGAATTCCCGAATAAGCAGATCACATTTTCCGGAAAGAACGTGTCGCATTCACATTCATTCCTTGTAGCCGGTGACTAATCTCGATAGACTTGATGGCACTTGGTGGTTAAAGTTAAAAAAAAAAATATCCTTGTAAATGGGTTCGATTGGTTAGCCATAAGGGGTATTTTGTATAAAAAAATTTGCCGTTACTGTTATTGATATTGAAGCAAGGGTTGAAGTAACCTACAAACTTTGTTTTTGGATTGCGCATATTTTGGCACAAAATGTAGATATACATGGTGCCCCAAAAAGGCGTGGCGCTATTTTGAAAATATTTTACATCAATTCGGCCTTCAGAGTATCTCTTAAATACCAATTTTCAAAAACCTACCTGTTTCACTTTCCCAGACACGTTTAATTGAAGCTCCCAAAAAGGCACCCTGTGTTGAGAAGAGCAAATATCATTTGGTTTTACTTGGTCTGCTTCCTAGAGAGGGAACCTTTGTCGCTTTGATTGCACCTCGACTCTTGACTTCCATGTTGCGCGCTTGGCAAACATTCTGTTAATCAAATCAACCCCTTTTCAAGATACAGCGGTGGGATGGCGTAACTGAAAGTACGACCTTAAATTTCTATTTTCCCTGGTATAAAATTCGTTAGTAGTGAACATTTTAACAAATGATTCATAACATTTTAGGTGGGTGGATTGTAAAAGGCCAAAAGCGTAAGCATTGACGCAGAACTCCTACGTTACGTAGTCAAATTCTAGATGTCTTTGTATCAGAGGGTGTGGGTCTTGTTCGTCATTGGGCCGATTATAATTACTGAAAATGCATCTAATTTTCTATAGGGAGAGACGATTGAGACCAAGTTCAAATACCCCCATGCCACCATATCACCTTACGTCTTCCACCACCTACACTGTCTGTTTGTCTTACTTACAAAGAACCGAACTTGATATTTGTTTTAAAACTTTGTTTTGCAATCATTCACTCATCGAGCTTCTTAGCTAAAGTAACTTTTAGACGGTGTCATAAAGCATTACTTTACTTGTTATTTCAACACGTTGAGGTTAAGCGTAACTGTCGTCTCGCAACCTCGCATAAAAACATCAGAAAAAAACCCTACCCTTAAAGCTCTCAAGACCAAGCGCTTTTTTAAATACCTTTTATTTTCAAATCTACATTCATTTGCAGCTCATTTCGTAACCATTTGCATTTATAAATTCCGTTTCGAATTGAAAAAGTCGTAATAACTCGAACACGAATCATTTTCCCCTTGGAAAATTATAAATGATTTATCTCCTCTAACGGCATTCACTTGCGCCATCGTAATTTAATACGAAAAATCCTCTCGCGGGTATTGATTAAATGCCACTATAATTTACGCTACATTTGCTGGTAATGAGAAAAACGTTAAACATATTGATATACGAGGACGAAACAACAAGCGAAAGTGTGGAAGAGAAAGTTCTATGTCGCGATTTTTTTCTTACAAAGTGGACATTATTTGGGCGTAAATAAAATTTAAAAAAAAACATCAATGTAACTGTTTTTGTTGTAATAACAACGCCCGCACTACTTGGCAGCAGAAGTCGAGAAGCGAGCAATCCTTACCCCATACTCACGAGCAAAGCCACCGTTACTTTCATGTCCAAACGACGGACGTTTCGCAGCACATCTGAGTGGCAGTCGGTGTTAAAACTGGTCGTCCTTTTTATATACAAATGGGAAAAGAAATTGATCATAATTTTGTGCGTAGGAAAAGACCAGAACTTATAAAATATATTACGAACACAACCGGGCGATATCAGAGAAACCTTTTTCGAGACGAAAACCTTGGCATAGCCCACACAAATACACGAAATAAATCAACAAGTACAACGAAGGCAAAAGAAACTTCACAAAACATTTCAAATTCAAGATTCAAGGAACGTCTTTTTCCCAAAAATATCAACGTGCATCGTTCCAACTCTTCCAAGCTAAAAGGCGCGTTTTACTCCAAATCTAGCTCCGTACCGAATTCGATGAAACCGTACCTACCTTAACGCTGTTTTCTTCAAAAGTATATTTCTTTTATTCCACGTGACCACCATGGAACAATTTTAGTAACAGCGCGAGATTTAGATTTTGCTATGCGGGGTTCTGCAGATTCCAGGATGGAAGTTGTAAGAGTGTCCAGAGTAAGATTATCGTTTCGTGGAGGAATCACTTGTTCTGTGTAGTTCTTCCAGTTTGCCAGCTGTACTTTGTTTATTCTGCTGTTTTTATCTCTGGATATCATTTTCCTAATGTTCATGATGAGAAAGTGATCGCTATTAAAAACGAAATGGTAGGGAGGGAGGCAACCATAGTACTAGCATGTCCATTTTGTGTTGGATCATGTCGTACATGGAGTTCCAATTCGCGACTTGTGTGAAACCATCAACATCGCTAACGGGTTTTTTACATTGACTTGTTTTTTTAGGATTTTCTAAAGGTTTGTCCGATTTAGAAATTTGTAAAGTATAAGTCACTGTTCTCAGTGCATTCGCTAACTCTCTGTAAAATGAAACTTGATACGTGTACGAATTTTTGTATTACTAAAGTAACTACTCATCTCTGTTACTTAAAGTGGACCACAATTATCTTTTTCTCGTTCAGAATAATTAGATTAGAAATAATTTACTTACTTTTTCTAGATGAACCCGATAGATTTTTGGGAACGGAAGTTATGATATGTTTGTTATGAAACTAACAGATTTTTTATCGGCTAATGTAGCAAAAAAAAACATGAGATCGATCAAATATGACGTGTCGCAATGTTTCGATTGTCGGGTAACCTCAAAAGAAAAAATAAACCCAAACGTTTTTGGTTTTATTTCTTAAATAACGCCCCAAGAACCTACATTTTGTGAATACATTGATGAGTCTAACATAAACACATAATCCCAGCGCTTATTGTGATTTAAAATGAATTTCTATGCTCCCAGAGACAAACCATCTCAATCCATCTCAATGAAGTAGCCTGTTCAAATCAGTCATGTAGGAATAAAAAGATTTCGTTGATAAACATTCTTTAAACAATTGGGTGGGTTGACCTGATTTTTAATGCTCCAGCACAATTTTTCTCAAAATTATGAATCGTTATACAACCCGAGTACAAACAGTCATTGCGGTGTAGTAGGTGGGTCAGTAGGTTGGACTAATTGGTTGTGAAATACTGAAAATTGAGGTTAGCCTCAACTTTTCTCACTTATAATTGCACAAGAGGTTTGTATTTTACCGAGTAAATTTGGGTTGTTTAGGTAATGAAAATCTGTTGCCTAGCAATTAGACGAGAAAAACTGTCAACTAATAAAAATGCGACACCGCAGGCGGAGCATTTTTAGGTTGACAGTTTTTCGAGTCCAATTGCTAAAAGGAAACAGATTTGAATTGCCACAACCCAAATTTATTCGGTTTAAATACAAACCTCGAGTGTAATTCGGCAGGACAATTTAACGAACAAGAAATTCACTAAACTAATCAATTATTGACAGACGTCAAACTAGTCATATGGGTAAGGATAATGCGATTATTGGTTCGAAAATGAATAAGTGAAAAAACCACTAGTGCATTTGTCGCTGGAAAAGTTGCAGGTAACTTTTGCCGCTGTCAAAGTGACAATTGCACTGCGGCTTACGCGATTTTTTATACATGAGTTGAATTGTCACTTATAATTGCACAAGAGGTTTGTATTTTACCGAGTAAATTTGGGTTGTTTAGGTAATGAAAATCTGTTGCCTAGCAATTAGACGAGAAAAACTATCAACTAATAAAAATGCGACACCGCAGGTGGAGCATTTTTAGGTTGACAGTTTTTCGAGTTCAATTGCTAAAAGGCAACAGATTTGAATTGCAACAACACTAATTTACTCGGTTTAAATACAAACCTCGAGTGTAATTCGGCAGGACAATTTAACGAACAAGAAATTCACATAACTAATCAATTACTGACAGACGTCGAACTAGTCATATGGGAAAGGATAATGCGATAATTGGTTCGAAAATGAATAAGTGAAAAAACCACTAGTGCATTTGTCGCTGGAAAAGTTGCAGGTAACTTTTTCCGCTGTCAAAGTGACAATTTCACTGCGGCTTA